AAACCTTAATTCAAGTGAAAAACAGAGGATTGCTCCTGAATATTTCATATGCAGAAAACACTAATGGAATTGAACCTGATAGTTAAGAGGATGTTTCAAGTCCAAAGATATTGATATCATTACCTCATGCTGCATTTATATCATATTGGAGGAACAGTATTCGATTTACACATCAACATCTATCTATCCATGAGTTGTAGGGATCAGTTCTCATAAGGTGAGAGGTGAGCTACACCAAGAAAGGTCTGTTGCATAAATCTAGTCAGTTAGTATTAATTTTTAGACAGTGTGGCATGGTGGTTAGCACTGGTATCTTACAGCAAAAAGGTTGTGGGGGGGTTTCTGTTTTTTGCTGTGTCTGCATGGGTTTTCTCCAGTACTCCAGCTTCCTCCCATAGTCCAAAGACATGCAGTTGGTGGAATTAGTTAACTGGTGATTGTAAAGTGACTGTTGGTGTAACTGGTTGTCTGTTTCTGCGTTAGCCATGCGACAAACTGTTGACCTGTCTAGTGTATACCCCACCTCTCCCATTATGTTAGCTTGGATAGGCTCCCTCAAAGGTGAGTTGTATAAGTGGAAGATGATGCATAGAAGGATTGTGGAAAACACCGGCATCAATTTAGAGGAAAAGCATATAGCACTGTGCAAAAGTCACTCCTCACTTCTTTATATGTGGTAGGAAAATGACAAATAGGTCCAGCAAGCTATTACAACTTCTGCAAAAATAAATAGGCTTCTGATGAGGCTTCAGTGAACAGTAGACAGATCAACTGAAGGGCCAGATGCATCTCTTAAATCCTGTGTCAGGTATAGCCTTCGACTGAAAATCAGTGAAAAAACAGCTAGTTTCCAGAAAAAGCCTTTGAAAGACCTTCAGAACACCTGCAGAACTAATACTCAAGACCATTTTAAACAATTACAAGAATGTCAGGCTTCTCGGAAGGAAAATACATGTAATGGGTTATAGTAGTACATGATCTAAGGCTAAAACAGAGTTTGAAAGTTTGAAAGTCAATATTTCAAATGAACACCAGGCTTCTTGAAGAACATCTGGAGCTCTTCTTTGGATGGTCACTGCATTTTGTGCCGAGATGATCTGACACCGCTTCAGTAATGTTGAGGTCTAGGCTCTGAGAATTATAATCCATGATGGATAGTGTTCCACTTTGTGTTTTTTTTCTATCCAGGTATGCTTTCAATGCATTGGTAATATATTTAGGATCATCGTCATGCTGAAAAATGAAACCATTACCAATCAGACGTTTTCCAGATGAAATCCCATGGTGGATTAAAATCTGACAGTACTTTTCTGTTCTCATAATTCCATCAGTTTTTACAAAATCCCCAACGCCACTGGTTGAGATGCAACCTCAAACCATGACAGAACTTTGAGCGTGTTTTACAGATATCTGTAGAAACTCACCATTGTGCAGTTCTTCTGATCTCCTACATAAATACTAATATATACAAAAAAGGTGAGTAAAGGTAAATCAATCAATTACAATCAATCAATTTTCATTCAACATTCCATAAGGCCTGTTGCCACTGATTTTCTGTTCAGCTCTTCTGTAACTGGGCATACCTCAGCTTTTTCTCCATGTTTGTCTTAATGGTTTAATTGAGAACTTTACTGATGAGGCTTCAGCAAGCAGTAGACAGATTAAGTGAAGGGACAGATGCATCTCTCAAGTCCTTGTCAGGCATAGCATTGGACTGAAAATCTGTGAAAAAGCAGCCAGTCTCCAGTGAAAGACCTTAAGAATGCCTAAAAAACTACTGCTCAAGACCATCAAGTCAGGCTTCTTGGAAGCAGATTTCATGTAATGGCTTACACATGGTTTGCATGCAGGATAAGTTAAAAGCAGGATGAGTAATAAATAAAATTGTCCTGTTTCTAGACTATATGGTTCACGATATGGCAACTTTACTGTACAGACTTAGTACTAAGAAAGAAACCATTTTAGCTGTACTATGATGTTGTGTTAGGCTTGTTAAGAGACAAAGTAAGGCGGACAGATTTGCAGAGATAGATGAAACAAAAGCAGGTCAAGGGGAGCTGACACCCATCAGCTTTCTCTCCTTAATCTATCAGTGTAACACATCTCTTGCCCCATCTCCCTAGACACAATGACATGCCAGATATCACAGGCCCTCAGCAATTGGCTTTGTCATGGCCTTTAACCCATGCGGATCTATATGTGTGTGTGTGTGTGTGTGTGTGTGTGTGTGTGTAGTAGATGGTGCTTTAAAACATAAGCTCAAAAATAAATTTATAGCTGCTCTTTTTTTGTAATGTTCCACTAGCCACTGAACACTGTAAATCTGTGCTTGTGTTTGTGTGTTTGCTGAGGTTGGGTGTTAATAAAGACGAGAAACAGAGAATCCTTAAAATAGAATTAGACACATAGCCACACAAAGAGTTTTCAGTTGCTAAAATGTAGATGAAATATCAGTTATTATCCTGTGAAATCATTAGCTCTGGTGTATTGCAAATGTTATCTCCAAAATGCAACCCAGGAAACCTTTTCTGTTCTACTTGCTATGAACCGTAAAGTGGGTATCTGTGACTTCTATCTCGATGCAGAAATTTACACACATATTACAGGTAGCTTTTCTATTTAATACAGGATATGTTTCTTTTGCTCTGTGTGTGGCATCTTAAAGTGGCAAAAACACAGCATTTTATGACAATTTTGTTGTAGATTTTTCTTTTGTCGTTCATTTATCCCAACTCTGGCCACAGTGTTCACTACTGACACTGACTTTCAGACACCACACTCTATGTCAAAGCCGGCTGAAGTCAAGAAGAAGAAGATGCAAAGAATTTGTGTGGTGACAAATGATAGAATGGTCTGTAATTCACAGTAGCAGCAGGTAGAATCAGGATGTCTGACAGGCAAGGAAGCAAAGCAGGTAATGACAGTCTGAAAAGTTATGAGGGCATGATGTGCTGCAGGAATCCAAGTTGTCAAAATGACAGACACATGAATCGGGATGTATGTGAAGAGAAGATTTCTTAAGTTGCAGTAGTTTCCCAGGTAGAAAGTTTTAACTGAATCAGTTACTGATGCGTGCAATACCAAAAGTTTATTAATGGTTAGGTTAATCGGGTAAACTTTTTACATCAGTTTGTTCTCATCTCAAAGAGCAATTTAATACAGCATTCTCAGATACCTAATGCTACACACTATTATGCAGTTGGGGCCCTGTGGCATTGGTACTGATATGCCATCTATGGCAATGTCAGCCACCAGGAGCCAAGGTATCTCTATTAGAGAGCCACAAATCTGTATTAGGAGGTTGAAGACGTCTTAGTGACATATACTAGGAGTTCGTTCTTCTTTTTTTTTTTTGCAAATTTGTTACATTTTTCACCTTTTTTCAATCGAAATTGTTCCTTTTTTCACTTACTTTTTAGGTTTAAGCACTGCAAACTACTTGTTGAGGTTTAGCACAACAACATGTTTTAGGTTAAAACACACACGCCTCCACAGCCTTAACCGTGATGATTGACAAATAATGATTTAGGGGTTACAGACCCCTCCCTTAGCTCTGGGGCACGTAAACCAAAGGACACCTTGTGCATAAATGAGCCACACCAGCAGCTGTGATAAAGCGATGATGTGGGAATTAGAAAAGGCTTGTCCGGCAAGGCAGTTATCCAAAGGGTGTACATTAAATATGCAGTTTTACTTTAAACAGTAGGATCAAGTTTGTAAGACTTAATACCTCCTTAGCTAAGATGTGTACCCCATAATGAGGTTCTGTTCTGATATGATATGGAGTTTCTGATAATGACATTGCTTTGTATTAAACACTGTTTTTCTTTGTTCCTTAAAACATTTGGTCATTATCATTTTCATAAGTAGTGGTAGTAGTGTTTGGTCAGCAGTGTTGGGGAGTAACGGAATACATGTACCGCCGTTACGTATTTAAAATACAAAATATGAGTAACTGTATTCCGTTACAGTTACCGTTTAAAAAGGTGG